TCGAGCAAAATCCATCCCATTTCTTAAGGAGAGTAAAACATAGAGTGAAAATCTCAGTTACTTGTCATCTTGCCCTCCAGAGGGGCTCCACTTGCATTATTTGATGCTCTTGCTGCTGGGCTGAGTAAGGTGCCATCTGGCTCAGACATAATCACTCAGCATTGTCACACCATAGAGTAAAAGCGTAAGATCCTGCATCCCTCATTCTGCAGCAGAGTGAATTCTAAGCAGATAGGTGTTTGTAAACTGATTATACAGAGGAAGTCTGGCATGCTTGGAGCTGTCTGCTCTCAATAAGCTAAGTAGCAGCATCACAAGGGAGGTTCTTTAAGGATCCCACATTTTATGGGTGGAATAGGCAGATTTCTGCAATATGTCCAGTCAGCTCAGTGTAAATGGGACATCCCCAGGCATGTAGCACAGCTTTGTAATGCACTTTTTGCTTTTCAGCCCCCATCCTGTAGGGAGGATGCATGTTCTGTGAGCATGAGTTTCTTCTCTAACCTTCTGATGACAACCTTTTTCTCTTCAGCTACTGACATCTTGACTCATTATAGGGATGCTGATTCTGCTGGACTAAACTTTTCCCACTAAACTTCTTCCTCCTTTGTTTGAAACTACATACTAACCCATTTTTAATTTTACAGCCCTGTATCTGGATTACATCTTCCTGCTTAAGATAAATTAAATGTCATATAATTATGGAGAGAAAACTAAAGTATTCTTCACCAGGGCTTGCCCTGCTGTACCTGTTGGGTTTCAGCCATTAGGAGTGGTCCATATTCTCCTATTTGAAGAGAATGTTTCTCGGAGCAGAAGTGTGTTTGAACTGTTGGGGAAAGAAGGAATTGGGAGCTAGAAACTAGACAATTCAAAGTGAAGAAGAGTTTCAGCAGAGAGGGTAATTAATCACTGGAATGGCTGTGTATAAGGTACAGCAGCATTTCTGACATTTAAATCTGTCAAGGATGAGCATCCTTCCAAAGGATGTTCCTTCACATTTTAAGTCTTGGTGCTCAATCACTGGACAAAATTTCTAGCCTGTGTTAGATAAGAGGTTAACTTCTATAAGAACACCGTTCCCTTATCACTTCAAGATCTATTTACTTATTACTAATTATCTCTCTGAGGTAAGGATGGGAAAGAGTACCAAGGAGATATTGATCTTGTACTGTCTAGTTATCAGTGAAGCCATTCATCAAGTCTACCACAAATACGGCAACAGTTAAGCATTGCTGCTCATAAATGTTTCAGCAGTGTCAGGTAGCTCAGTGTCCAGCAAAATAAGTAGCCATGAATGCCCTGCCCCCAGTTGTTACTGAGAGCTAGTTTCTTGTGTGAAAAAAATGATAGAACCAGACATTTGCTTCTGGTTTCATTTAACTGTTGGTTAATAGTCATGACACAATTATTGCAGTAATAGCTTCTTCAACTCAAATCAACTCAATAGTCAAAACCAATAACCTTTGCAGTGATACTTTTCTTTGAGGATAGAAAAAAATACAATTGCTTGGTTAATCTGATATTTTCAGTATGTCTAGGTGAGGTACTTTTGCTCATCTAGAATGTGCTTGTTCCCGTTTAATTTTCAATCTGCAATGCATTGTATGCATTATGAATGCTTTCAGCATTTGTAATTCCAGGAGGAACATGGGCTGGGAAGGGCTTTTCAAATGTGCAGCCTCAGTTAGTTGGCAGTAAAGATAAAAATCCACCCTTTTGTCTACAAAGTAGATGGCAAATGTGGTCATCAGTTAAACACAAAATTCTCATGTCTTTTCTCGAGGCATGAATGGCCCTGTACTCTGTGAACCAGGAGAACTCCTCAGAGGAGTGCATAGCACCTCTTGTAACGTAAATGGGAAAACGTATTTCTGTGTGCCATCTGCTTCAAACTACACTAGAGGTCCATGCAGAGCACCTCCATGGTCACCTTGAGACCATTACCTTTGTGTTTTCACAATTTCCAGTCACTGAGAAACCCGTCACAGAGTGGAATACAGTTCTTGAGTGTCCAGCTCATATCGTGGGAGACTTGTACTGGAGATACAGGCAGAGGCAAGGATTTGGAAAAGAAAAATACAACATGGAAAAAAGAAGCATTCCCTCTTTACATCTTTAAGAGAAGTTACTATGTTGTGAAACACAAATGTATCTATCTCAGATCAAAAAGAGCTCTGTGTATCTATCCATGGATTGTAATTACCTTCTTGGAAGGGTCGGTATGTTAGAGCATGTGTTAGCCTGCAAGAAAATCCCATGACTCTTAAATTACTATTTCAGTCAAGGTCTTGCAGTTTTCTCACTGATGTTTCATTAAAAAAATGTGCTTGAATTCTTTCTTTGGAGGGGCAAGGGGAAGGGGAAGGGCTTCACATTACTTCTGAAGATCAACTTTGAAAGGTATTGGAAGATTAACCTTTCTCTGGCCAGTCAGAAATGCATGTGCTCTCCATTAGTAGCTGAGCACAATTCCAGACGGAATAGATTTAGAATTGAGAATGTTTTGGGGGTTGAAAGAAGATCCTGTAAATTCCCATGACTGATACTGTCTTTCAAAGTTTATCTTGATACAACTACTGGCTTATCATTTCCTTTCCCTTTTAGTATAATCTAACAGAACGAAGTCTTTTTAAAATTTTGATTCTAGGCAACAGGCTGAGCTTTAAAAAGTCACAAATGTTACTTCAGTGTCCTGGTTTTGTTCTCATTTGGTTACATTCAGGCTCTTAAGTCACAAATGTCACCACTTCAGAGTTTTGGTATTGTTATCTTTGGGATACATTCAGAATTGGATCATCTTTTAATTGTATTTAACCATGCTTCAGTGTATCTGTGAGCATGTGTTCAAGAAAGCCCATTGTCCAAACCACAAGTGGCGCTGCAAGTAAAGACAAGAGGTGCATTAGCAAAACTGTAGGTCACTTTGAGCTAGAACGGTAAAGCGTGTGTACTCAGCATTAGCAAACCTGTGCAAACGTTTGGGGCTGCAAACGTTTGGGAAGTGTATTTAGATTCAAGGTGCACAGCAAAACACAGGATGTGCATTGTCTGTTGTATTCTCTGTATATAAATTTCATGTAATCAGCTGTAAATGAGCTATTCATCACTTAGATGAATAAACAGAAATACTTCCAAAATGTGTAAAATATGCATAACTGTGGTTAAACAGAGGTGTAGGAATTTTTTGCTTTTTAACATTCAACCACTTTAATTGTTATATAAAATACCTGTAAGAATTAGGACCCTTTAATGAGACCAGGCAGCAGAGTGTGATTAATCTCAGGAGTTCGCTGGAATTGCCAACTACAGCTGATTTGTTTTAACTTACAAATAATTGCATTGTTGGTTTTGCTCAAATTACCCATAAAGAAATAGGGCAGAATAGCTTCCAGAGAATAGCAGCTAAAGTGGTCAAAAGTTCTTAAGAAGCTTTTAAGCCCAGAATTCATGGCTTAAGCACTTAGGCTACATCACAGAGCTGATACTAAAGAAGTCAGTAAGTACTGTAAAATGAACTGGTAAGCTTCAGGAAGATTTATGGTAAATTTTGTCAAGTCTTAATGACTTTGACTAGTGTTTAAACTCTTCAGGCGTTTCAGGGCTGTAAAAACAATAGCTCCAACTCAATCTCAGATGAGCATTGGCTGAGCATTGGCATAAAGGAGCCTAAGCCTTTCTTGCCTTTACATAAAATGGAGCAAAGCAAGCATCCAGGCACTGACAGAAAGTTAGCAGGATCTGAGCTCTCATGTGGTCTATATGTCACTTTTGAAAAGAGAGACCAGTGCTCTTTTATAATTTAAGTTCTTTTGCTAATTTGATACTTCTGTTGTAGGGGACAGGAGGTTGTTTGGTTGATGGGTTTCTTTTTCCGCAAAACCAAATAAATAGGTAATAATGCCTCCTGCATAGTAAATTCACAGGGTGTCAGAGCACTTCAGAAACAATTGATCCCTGGAGTAATAGGAAAGCAGAAGGAGAAAGCATGTCTCTTGAGCAATTTGCTGCAGTATTTCTGAGGGGGGGGGGGGGGGGGGGGGGTATAAATATGTAATTGGACAATCTGTGAATTTGACTTTTGTTAGGAGAGGTGTTACAGTAAAGGTGCAAGAAGGAAGTACTTGAGTTGGGATTGGGGAACCATCCTCTGCAGATTGTGTGCAGGTTATGGAGGAATTGGCTAGAAAAAGCAGTTGTAGAGACATAGGTGCGGAAGGACGTGGTTGTAAATCAGTATGCCCTGCAGAGGCAAATGATATTTTAGTTTTCTGCTGATGTCAGAGGTGCAAATTGGGAAATAATAGCTTTTTCTTTTAAAAACGGTTATTACAGAAGAGTGAAGGGGTCTAGTTCTCTCCAGCCTGTATTCATTGCAGTTAGTTACACCAGTGCGAGCTGAGTGAAAAGATGTGCTTTTGTGATTCAGTACCATTTTTTCCATGCTCGTTTAAGTGAGCACACCCGTGAGTCTCTGGTCCAGCAACTATAAAACCCAAACAACATTCAAAGTGCAAACACAGGTCTGTATGACAAGCATAATGTCCCTTTTCAATGATGCTCTTTATATCTGTTTCACAGGAGCAGCCTGCCTGTTTGCCACATACCTGATCTTGACATTTTCCAGGTGTTTCACATCAGTGTTTTACAACAAAAATAGTGAGGAATTGGTCATTCCTCTAGGATATTCTTGGGGAAGGGTGGGGTCTTTTTCACTTAGCCTCTGACTCTATTCTGGCACACACAAAATTGGTAGCTTGTACCGGTGAAAACAAACTACCAAATGCAAGAAATACTTGGATCTTGCAAATATTTGTACCCTAGACATACAGTGTCCTCTGTGTCTGGGTCAGAGTGAGGCCAATACCCCGGCAGCTGAGTATAATGAAGTGTGTTTCTGATTTTGATGAGTGCTTTTTCCCCTATTGATTTTTTTTTTTTTTTTTTTT